TTGGACGCCGACCGCTCGGGGGTCGCATAACTAACGCCACTTGTCCCTCTAAGAAGGGACAAGTTCCTTTGCCTTGCCTTCTCTGTCTTCTTTCCCTCCATCCTTACTGCCTTCCACCTTCCCTTTCTCCATTTAAAATTCTCCTTCCTTCCTGTTCTCTCTCTTTCTCTAAACATGCCCAGTATTAGCTATTAGCTTAACTAGTTGACAGTAAAAAAGATGCCTGTTGTTTACCACCTAGTCCTCTCCTCACACACAGACACTCTCACTCACACATACTAGCCACTCCCAACTCAAACCACTCTCACAAACACCAGCTACTTGTACTTTCCAACATACACACCAGTCATTCACACACAGCTTCATGTCACACTGAGTCTGCACCCAGAGGCTCCTACTACGGATTCTTCTTGATGTGACAAAGCAATGAACCTGTCCATGATTTATATTTGTTATAGAGTAAATGTAATGTTAAGAATGAATTACTGAATTACATAAATCCCACATCTTGAAAAGAAGGCTTAGCTGGTTACAGAGTGACATCAAATGCCAAGATAATAAACATACCAAGCATGATCACTAAGGCAAGTGCAAAAGGTAGCCAGTCTTTAAGGGTGGGAACCTTACTAGAGATAAGATGCAAAGATGGAAAAGAAAAACAGAAACAATCTATTTAGCCACAATGCTGAATACAAACTTGAATGAATTTCGTGACAGATCCAGGGGAATACCACTTTCTTTTTTCTTTTTTGTAGACAGTGGGGGAGTTTCTGCTATAGTAAAGCCAGGCACACCACAGAAATTTAAAAGCTGCAATGGAACTAGGGGAAGGAGAACCAAAGGGGATGTGGTGAGTGACCTAAAGGGTCAGAGAGAAGAGACAGAGAAAGCACTTTCTGTGATGATGTTAATTTTCTACGTCTAATCCAAGATGTGCCTATACAGTGTAAAACTAGAGAAATTATGCATACTGTTTATACTGTTTTAATCTGATAGTCTCTCTCTCTTCTTAACATATCTTGTTCTGTGATATGGCTGCCAACAGTCTGGATGAACAGGTGGTAGCCAGTCCACACACAAGATTTTTACATCTAGTGCATTCTTTGTTTCCTAGCTTGCCAAGAGGCTTTCTGCAGTTGCTCTCCTACCTTGCCATCTTTCTTCCAGGCCACTGCAGAGCTCTGGAATAACATGCAGCAAAGAAGGATAAAGATGACTGCATCCCCAAAAAGCTTTAGTGGGAAAAAAAGGCTAAAAATGCACCTCTTGAGTGTCCTCTCTTGGCAAATTTTAGCAGCAGGTGCATTCTGCCCATTTGCCCAAAACCATGCCCCTCCACAGTCTGGCTTGGAACTGCCCCCAGCTATGGCCAAGCAGTGACTGGCAGAATTCTAGACCACAGAACTGGGTTTTACTTCAGCAGCCACCCTGGAAAATGAGGACATGCAGAACAGCTTTCAAGTACAACTGGGTACCCAAAAACGGGAGCCTCCAGGAGTTCCTGGCCTCAGATTGGAGTCACAAGATAACATGCTGGAGAGAAAAGACGATCAAATCTCTCGTGACACCCTTTTTATCACAATGGAATGCTCTTCATCTCATCAGTCATTACCTGAATAAATACAGCCTTTGGTGTCTCCATACTCTCCCCAACAAAGAATTTTTCCTCCCTTCCCAAAAACACCCCCAAAACTTCTCAAAAGAGCTCACCCTCTCCAGCAAACGTATTTTCTGTCCCTTTCCCTATCACAAGGAATCTCTTCTCTGCCACTAAGGGGAGGAAAAATCTCATCTTTCATTTCCATTCCCTCTCAGGCAGGAAGTCTCCCAAAGAGCATGAGCTGGGATCAGACCAGCAGGATCAATCCACTGTGACAGGGTCCCTTTCACTCCAGATAACTACAAGAGGGTCACTTCAGGCGAATGGAGTTACTTGGTGTCCCACATGAGAAACACCTTGGAAATCTCTCTGGTGGAACTCCCTCTTCAAAAGATATAGCAAGGTTCCCTATTTTCCCCAAGTCAACCCCACAGAGTTGAATCTTTCCACAAGCTGTTGTGAAGCTGGTAGAAACAAAGTGTGCTTCTCCTAATTCTATTCCCAAGCTGCCCAAATACTGCTTCAGGTTCTATGAGATGAACCCTGATTTCTGCAGTGTCTGGTTGTCTCACACCACAGCTGATCATTCTAGGTGCCCAGATCTGCTTCCACATATTAACATGTCCCTTCACAACCCCCTGGTTGGGGGGGGGGAGGGAGAGAAAGGCTATTAAATGATCATTTGAGCTGGGCAGCATTCAGATCAGTATTACAATCCTCTTGTACTTCTAGAGAACTAATCAAGTGGCTGACTGAGAGGAAGACAAAGGTTGTTTCCTCCAAGCTGCCCCCCTTGGTATGCAGGAAACTTGCAAGGGAGCTTATCTCTGTTTATGCAGCCAAAGACATGGCTCAATATTTTAACAGCTTAGGGGCCAATTTAGGGGCATCTAACCTTCGACCTCGTCCCATAGGGGCCTAAGACAAGGCAGAATGTCCTGCAAACTATTAATCATCCCTACCAGGCCACATGCCCAGATCCCAAAGTCAAGAAAAGGAAAAAGGGGTCTTACTCTAGGTACTTCATAGGCCACAGAAGCTGAGAAGATCCAAGATCTAAAATGAATTATTTTGTCAAATACCACAAATACAATATGGATTCTCTCCACTCAAGGCTATCAACTGTAGATTTCAGATAACTATCTGGCACCCACTGAAATTGAGAACTCAGATCCTCATATTCCAGACCAATCAGAGGTTCCGCTGTAGGCCATGTGCACTTCCAATTTAAAACTCTAATCTTCAGAAAGCATCATGATTGTCACTCAGGACTAGGATCTGGGCCCAATGTTCCAGAAAACCTCAGTAGCAGTACACATGACCTGACAGCATTTAGTTACCTTGGTCTGGTGGAAAATGAAAACACGGCTCTCCTCCCCAGAAACTGCTGCCTCTTAGGAGCCATAATTAATACGGAAGACGCACAGCTAATTCCCTCCCCCCAATTGAACTCCTCCATCTCAAGGCCCCAATTCATCCTTTTGAGTCCAGGGAGTCAGCAGCTATCCAGTTGTACATGGCCTGGCTGGAGGCCCATCATACTGTGAAGACCTGATGGAATGGGCCAAGTTCCCTTCTCAATGTCTCCTTGAATATATGTTAGCGTCCAACCTCACTCCCCAAGAGAGGAGAACTTGGAACATCTAATTTCTTCCCTTCAAGCAATGAAAGGTTCTCTTATTTGGTGATAGGAAAGCAGAGTTTTCTCACCATGAAGAGATTCCCACTACAGGACAATTGGAGTCCTCAGTTAACCAGAGATGTGCAGCTTCCACAAATAAGGGTTCTTCACAATAGGTCCAAGGATTGTGGTCTTCACAGGAATGAAAACCCCACTTCAACATCCTGGAACTTAGGGTCATCAGGTTGGTTCTCAAGTTCCTGGAGATCCTCCTTTCAGCCATGTCTCAATCAGGTTAGATAGAATAGCTGAAGTGGCCTACCTGAATGATCAAGGAAGGCTTCCGAGTATTCCCCTCTAAAGAGAGCCCCTATTACACAGGGAAAAGAAAGACTGGGATCCCTCAAACTCCTACAAGTATCTGGCCATCTGAATGATCAAGGTTATTGGTTGAGCTGCAAGGAAATCTATCCAAGGAAATAGTCCCTCTATTAGGAAAACTGTTCTCTGTTTCCAGCCTCCCTCGATTAACTTCTTGCTGGGAGAAGGAAGGGTTCTTGAGCTTTGGATAGGGATAGGTAGTTTACCCTCCTCATCTTTTCCCATGATGTAGTTCTGGAGAAAATAGGCAGGCAGGACTCAGTGCCATCCCATTCCCCTAGACTCAAAGTAGCCAAGATGAGTCTTCTTCATAGAGTTCCTTAAGCTGTACCGAGACAGCCTTTGCCAACCAGAAAAATAAGATATCCTGTAACAGGGCCAACCGTCCACCATGATCCCATTGCCCTCCATTTCAAGAACTACCTCATTGATGCTCTCTCACCTCAAAGCCAGGAATGTCTAATCAGTCCTTGCTGAAAGAGGAGTCTTTCTTCACTTACTATCTTTCTCCTTTTGGTGCAGATATCAACTCTTGGCTTTGAGATTCACTACCCCTTCCATTCTACATTACTTTCAGGATGGGTCTGACAAAGGTCTCTCTGCATGCTCCTTAGTGTCCAGGCTTCAGGGATTCCATAGGAGATCTCCCAGTGGGATCCAACTTCACATCAGGGTTTTTTAAAGCAGTTTCTTACCTGAGCCTGGTAAGACTCTTGTTCGCGCTTGGAACCTAAACTTGGTGCTAGATGCCATAAATTCATCCTCATCATTCTCGCTCTCTCTGTTATAGAAAGTGGTCTTTCTAGTGGCCATCCCTTAGGTAGGAGAGCTGAGGAAATTACAGATATTGCTCATGATCCCCCATATATCATTTTACAGAAAGAAAAAGCAGTTTTTTCCCCAAGGTGGCCTCAGGTCTCCCTTCTTAACTAGGAGATCTTACTCCCCAACTTTGGGTCTTGAGACTGGAGCTGAAGTCATCCAGTGGCATTTCCTGGATATCCACCAAACACTTATGCTCTGCTTTTCCTGAACATTCGCTCACAGTAATATTGCCATATTAACAATTAGTGAGGTAAGAGAAATAGGGTTTAACCTATACACTACCAAATTCACTACACACACAATGGTGTATCACGCCTTTTTGTTCCCTCACAGTACTAGATGCTTTAAATACCCAATGGAAACGAGGTACAGATTAACAGGAAAATATTTCAAAGCTGATATGATTTGGTAATGACATATACACTAAAAAACCCCACATAGGGCAGTCCAACCAGATGTTGAGTGGCTAAAGGATTTCTACAGTAGTACTTCCTCCGTTACTACCACCAGTGGAGCTGCACCAGTGATAATGACAATTGTAGAAAATTTTAAGAAAAATGCTAGGCCTTACATTACTGTAATTATGCCAAGTTGCACCTACCTAGTTTGACACTTGCTGAGTGTAAGACCACCAGTTTTATTACACAGTTTCTTTTGTTTTAATCTGATTCTCTGTAGAGACTCTTAATAAATCCTTGGAGGGAAGACAACATTACATCTTCACATGGAGGCAGTCAGGGAGAAAACAGTACCTATTCCAGGAGCACTTGGCGACCCCCTGGGAATTGCCACTAGCTTCATCAGTAGGGGACACAAAGAAATGTGGTAAAGAGACAAGAACAGGGGAAAATTCAGTGGCAGGATTAGATGACCAAAGGCTACATTTGGTGTAAAGATACAGAATCCCCGCTGTGAACCTCAAAAAATAAACAACTAAAACCAAAAAGATGGGAAAAATTGGTTTGTTTTGATTTGGTTTTTGGGGTGCGGAGAAACTCTAAGGAAGAGAGACAGGGAGATTTATGACCAGATTTTTTATTTTTTAAAGGAACAGCAGATCAGAGCCAAGCAAAGAGATAAATTCCAATTTTAAGATACTTAGCAAGACCAGGATTGTATCAACAAATCAATAGAATTATAAGGAAAATGGGCACTGAAAGTTTGGCAGGGGATAAGCAACAGAGAATGGTGGCACCTCAGAAGGGGTTAACCAAACACAGTTGGTACCATTAGATAGTCCACTTTCCTAAGACTGGCAGCAATGCAAATGTGGGCTTGCCAAGTGGACCAGAACTACGTGGGGGACCTGAGCAAGAGACAGACAATCTAGAGAAGACTATGTTAGAGGAAAGCAACAATGAATGCAGTGTCCACAATTAATGGAGGAAATGCCAGGGACAATATTAGTGGTTAGGATAATTGGAACCTGAAGTGGGAGAAACATCAACTGGAGCAAGAAAAAAGACTGCACCTGGAGAGAAACTGGCAGAGAGAGAAGGTCCACCAGCACAAGGAAAAGCGGCATGCTAAGTGTGAGAGTAAATGTCAGCGTGAAATGGACATCAAGGCCAGGATTGGAGGGGTGGGGGTGAGAGAGGAGGAGGAGATTAACATTAGGCTTCTATTTTTTGAGAATCTTGGCCTAAGAATCTAGATAACCAGTGTCTGAACAGTTCAGTTAAACGGAGACAGAAACCACACATTCAGTTCCATATCCAATATAGATTACAAACTATTCCTAAAATATAGAGATGGGGACATTTTTGGTTTTTTTCAGAAGTCCTTAAGAAAGGGGCATATAATAGGAAGTCAACAATGGATAAGATGAGGTTTCTAACTTCCTTTCTGAACTGTAAGGTACTGACAATGTAAACCTGGATATCGTGAATTATGGAAAAATTAAGACTGCCAGAGAAACCTGAACTGACATTTCGAGGCTCAGAGAAAGAAATTTTGGGGAGCTCAAAAGAGTGATGAGAATTATGATGAATTTGCAAATTAAACAGGAAAATAACTAAAGAAATGGATAAACAGGAACAGGGTTTTCATTAGAGAGAAAGAGCTGGAACTAAAAGGCATGAAATAATTTTATCAACATTGTTATTTAGACTTGTGAGCATGATTGGATATTGACTCCCCAAAATGTTGCACAAGCTGGTAAGATAGCTAATCGCTATGAAAACAGCCATGTGAAAACAGAGAAGAAAACCTAAGAAGGAATAGGCAAGCAACAGGGGCACAAAGCCTGAACCTGGCAGAGGAAGCCATTTTGATCATCCACAAGGAGCGCACTGGGAAGAGATGTTACATCTGCCAAAAAGATGACTGCCCCATTAGCCACCAGAAGTCACTTGCACTTCAGTCGGGGCAGCTTTCACCTATGAACAATAAAATAAACTGCATCAAGCATCTGCTTGATGAGGAAAGTCAGAGGCCATATCCAACAGAAAAGAATGACATATATGCTATTAAATTCACTCCATAAACAATCTGTATATTTATTGCTTGTCCCCTAACAGGACCAGGTGCTCTAAATAACCAGTGGAAATGGGGGGGTGGGTGAGGGGGGTGAGAGAGATAATAGATTTTATTAATGGGTAAATTGTTTCAAAGATAGCATTATTTAAAAAATTATGTACATGCTGTTAAAGCCCCAACTGGTGCAAACCAGTCAGCTGCTTGGTGGGCAAAGTACATCTACACTAGCACTCCCTCCGTTACTATCACAACTAGAGCTGCACAAGTAGTAGTGCAATAGGGGAAAAGTTTAAGAAAAATGGTAGTGCTGATAAGGCCTTTCTTTACAATAACTTTTCTAAGATGTGCCTACCTATCTTAACTCTTGCCAACTATAAGACTAGATATGTTACGCATATTTTTTTGTTTTAATCTGATTGTCTCTATATATTCTTAATACAGCTTGTTTTTAACGCGATCATTTGGGTCTTAGATTGTTTAGAGGTAAAGTCACTGCAATATGGTCTAGGAAGGAAGGAAGCCTTATGATCACTTGTGAGAGACAGTTGAGTACCTATCCTGGAGCACCTCCCGGAGGGAATCCCTTAATGTATCAGTATCTATAGTATATAGGGGACTGAAGGTTATACTCCCCTCCTCATGGGGCAATGCATCAGAGTTAAGTGAAGGTTCTCTGCTCCCAAAAGGATCCATCAGGGATGCAAGTAATTCCCCACTGTGACACTGTGACAGGCTGTCCCAGCATGAGAGTGGGCAGAAGGGCCAACAGAGTGGGAGTGTGCACTTAAGGCACATTCTTCTCATTCTTAAGCGATCTTTATACATCCAAAAACTTTTACAAAAGCCCAACCCCAAAATGTTAATACTGAAAAATATCTATCTTGCATAAAATACTTACAAAAACTAAACATGAATAAATATTCTTACACTGCATATGTTGTGCCATAACCCAGTTGTGGAGCAGCCTGTAGTTTTCTACAGACCCCTTTACCATTTCTACCAACAAGTCGTAAGCAGCAGCCCTTGAAGAATGTGACTTGCATTTTGGCTGTTGTCTATCTTTTAGACTTGGCAGCAAAAACAGAAGATTGAAGATGTCTCTTAGAAACTCCTGTAAAACAATTCAATCGGTAGGTATATCAGTTTGTACAAATATTAAAAACACTGTTATATAATTGTATATCGTTTTAAACTTTCTAGGAGGCTTCCTCCATCAGATAAAAACAATTTTAATGTCCTATAGATAAATTTTAGACTGCAGACTTTGACAGTGTCTCCTTTACACCATTCTCTGTATATTATATAACATACCAAAAAGCAGTCTTCAAGTAATTTGAAGAGAAGCATTGTAAATGTGTTACATTACCATGATGGAAAGATAAATATGTCCACCAAAAAAAGTTAAGACAAATTATCTGTAGCTCTAGCACAGCACTGCTATTTGGCATAAGAAACCAGAAAAAAATTAATGAAGACTACCAAACATCCATAATTGAGTTACATTCAGGTTTAAGTAAGACTTAAAGATTACTCATGTTATGTAACATTCCCAATCTAAAACATTACTATTCCTACAAATCATATTAACATAATAGATCATGTATATTATACCAAAAACAACTGTTATCATAACACTATGAAATTAATACACTTCACAGTTCTGTACAATTATTTTCTTTTTCTTTGTAAATATATTAAACTATAAAGAAAGAAAGAAATACTGATGTTACACATGAAATACACATACTACACAAGCGATGATCAACAGAATTTCTGATATAAAAAGATTGGGTAAAATACAAGTCAATGACTAAACTTCCATTGACTTTAGTGAGACAGGATTTCTCCCAGGGTATTTTAGTTTACACTGACAAAACTATCCAGGTACACCTTTTAAGTGTTTTTGAAAAGGTCAGTTTCACCCATTACTATTTATCCATAAAAGTCATGTATTATCAGTCTGTGTTTTAATGTTCACATACTAAAATTGATTTTAAGTGTTCCATTGCTATAGATTCAGGTTTTTTTAAATTATGATTTTAATGACAAATGCTGTATATTAAATATTGCTCCATGAACAAAGTGAATCCATGTTAAATGGACTAAAAAGAGAGCAAACAATGGCTGTTCCAAGTCATGTTGATATTGGGTAACAGATAAACAAGTTGTAATTTGTTACCCACATTTGCTACACCAGATAAATATGACAAGAAATTGGGGGGGGGGTCCCCTAAACTTATCCCTCTCCTGTTTTAGTCACATTAATTCAACAACATTAAAATTAAAAAAAAAAAAAAGACGTATTACAAGCCCTAGGATTCACATCCCTCTAATAAGATGACCAAATTTTTCAAAAAATTACACCACTTTGCTAAATATGTAGTAGGGAGTAATAAGTAGGAGGGAAGGTTGTGTGCAGAAGGTTTAAGTAGCAAGGGAGGAGTGGAGGCTTTTTTTTGCAAATAGCAAGAAACAGGTTGAGAGTGCTTATTAACGGGAAGGGGGGGGGGAGAGTAGAGCTAAAAGGGCTGACAGATGGTATGAGACAGGCTGGGTGTGCTTATCACAGGATAGTTTGAAAAGTTGGCTAATGTGTTAAAAATACACTTCGTAAACCACAAATGCTTGCAGCCAGGAATAAATATTTAGGTAGTGTCTGCACTAGCCTTTACAAATGTGTTACCTGCCTGGCAATTAATTAGCTTCAGGTAAAAAAAAAAAAAATCTAGTGTAGATATACATTTAGGAGGGAGAGAGGAGAAGTAAACAAACACATTGAGCCCTAGTCTACACTACAAAGTTATGTCAATGTAAGTCACCTTGTGTCAACCTATTTGTGCATGTCTATACTCAAATGTGTCTCCCGCAGATGTAAGCGCCCAGTTAAAGCAATGCAATAATATCATCTCTCCAAATGGCCATGGTCAACCTACTGTGATCAATGCAACCCAAGCGTAGACACTGCAACATATGTCGACCCTAATAGTTCCCCAGCAGTTGTCCCACAATGCCCAATACTGACCACTCTGTTCACAACAGGTAACTCCACCACCCAGGCATCACAGAGACCTGAAGCCACCCTGCTGCTTTAAAACTCCTGTGTATTTTTGAAGTGCCTTTTCCCGAATGCCCAGCTTAGCAAGCACACCTAGTGCTCTTCCTTGCTGTGTTGCAACTGCCCAACCAGACCTGCAGAGAGAAGAGGCTGTGCAGGCACAGCTATGGACCAGTCTTAGAAACGTGGACATCTATGAAAGATTGCACATGGGATGCAGGTGAAGGGGTATGACAGGGATCAGGAGCACTGCTAAGTGAAAGTGAAGGCACTGCAGCAGGCATACTACACATGGCCACAGAGGCCAACAGTTTACCTGGCGACGAGGCACAAACTGCCACTTGTACAGAGAGCTGCATGCCATACTTATCAGAGATCCCACCAGTATCCCGCAGACGACCCTGGATACCTCAGTGTACGGCAAGGTGGAGACCCGTCCAGCTATGCCATGAGCCCAGATCTTTTCGAGACTCCAGGACAGTCTAGCCAGCCAAGCACGGACAAACCCAATCCAGGAAAAGAAGTCTCTGTGTGTGCATGCATTCTCCCTTAAAATTTTTAAAAGTGAAGATGGCAGCCAGCTCAACACCAGGCTATCAGGACACAGGTACCTATTGTTAATTGTTTTACTTCTACAAAAAGAGGTAGAGGTACAACAAACAAAGGAAGAGTTGTTATTAGGTTTTCATTTCCCTGTAGGGTTAAGGAGGCAACCAAGTGCAGTAGTTTGCTTATGTACATAGTATATTCCTTGCATCTTCCTGAGAGATCTTGATGAAACTTTCATAGGGGTAACTCTGCAATCCTTTCTTGATGGTTTCTAGGGATGGCTGCCTTATTCCTTCCTCTCAGGTAGGACACTTTCCTACGCCACTTCATAATGACTTCAGCAGGCACCATTGCATTAAAGAGACTAGCAACATAAGGGCCTGGGCAGCTCAGGACGCCAGCTGCTTTCTGTGCCTCTGTGACCCTCAAGAGTGAAATATCAACTAAAATCACCACTGTCTGCAGAAAATAGTGCCAGTAATCAGTGCCATTACCCTGTACTTGTATCTATGGAAACAGATGCCAAAATTTTATTATTTTATACACTGAACAGTTCCCTTATTTCTCCCAGCCCTCACCCAGGCAGGGCATCTTCACCATGGCTGCGGCTGGAGAGCAGTGTTGTGCAGAAGTGCTCCAAAGCTTAAGTGTCAATAAGCATATCTTAATTAAAACTTTTATGAGTAAAAGGGAAGGGAGCTTTGTGTAAGCTCAAAAGCTTGACTTTCTCACCAGCAGAAGTTTGCCCAATAAAAGGTATTATCTCACCCACTTTGTCTCTCTAACAGTTGGTGTATGTTTGGCTGAAATGGACTAAAATGGACACAAATGTTTTCCACCATTCTAATTTTAAAGCGCTGTTCTGTTAAGTTTTGTAAGTTTGCACTGTATTGGTTTTTAATTGCACATTATTTTTGCACTTTTTTTGGTACACAATCCATTTTTATTTTTTGGAAATAAATTCATCTTTGTTACTTCGTAATATCAACCGCAGAACGCCTAGCGCTACTCAAAACACAGAACCACAACAGGACCACAGAACACATAGATTCAGTGACAAACAGTGTAATAAATATAAAAATACAGTAAGCACCATAGAATTGATAGGTTCATTTAAAGACCTGATATTCAGAATTGTACACCAAGCACTACACAATTCCTAACACCCTCCCCCACAAATTTCCAAGCCAGGTAGAGCAATGTCCAGCACATTACTGTGGCTGACCATTAAAGTGGTTTTTCGAGGCCTCCCTCATCCACACAGCTCTGCGCTGAACTCTTCTAATGGCCCTTTTGTCTGGCTGTTCAAAGTCAGCAGACACCACTCCACCCCGGTGGCAACTTTTTCCCCTTTGCCTCACAGATATTATGCAGAACACAGCAGGCAGCTATAACCATTGGGATATTCTTTTCACTGAGATTTGACCTAGTGAGTAAAAACTGACCTCATCCCTTCAATCTACTGAAAGCACACTCAACTGTCATTCTGCACCTCTTGAGCCAATAGCTGAATCTTTCCTTGGAGCTGTCAAGGTTGCCGTGGATGGCTTCATGAGCCCCAGGGACCATGGGGTAGGCTGGGTCCTCCAGGACCACTACTGGCATTTCAATGTAGTCAATGGTAATCCCCAATTGGGAAAAAAACTTCCGTGCTTTCAGCTTCTTGAACAGTCCTGTGTTTGTAAAGATGTGAGCATCGTGCACCTTCTCTGATTAGCCCACACTGATATCAGTGAATCATCCCCAGTGAGCCACCAATGTTGCATAACCATAGGAAAAATAGCCCTTTCTGTTGATGTACTCTGTGGCAAGGTGGGCTAAGGTGAAAATAGGGATGTGCATGCCTTGAATCACCCCACTGCAGTTCAGGAACCCCACAGCTGCAAATCCATCCACAACCACCAGCACATTACCTAGAGCAGTGGTTCTCAACCTGTGACCCAATCAATACACAGCTGCAGCCCATGTGACATCCTCAGAGCCATATAGGTAGTATATATATTGTGTGGATGCGGTTCACATAACACAGAGAGCTGCATATGAGGCTCACAATAGTAAATAGGTTGAGAACCACTGGCGTAGATGCTTCCTACATCAATGGAAGGGGTTTTTCTATCAATGCAGGTAATTCACGTCTCCAAGAGGCAGTAGCTAGGTCAACAGAAGAATCCTTCTGTCAACCTAGCCGTGTCTACACCTGGGATTAGGTCGACCTAAATACAGTGCTCACGGCGGAAAATATTTCGCAGCCCTGAGTGACGTAGCTAGGTTGACCTAAGTTTTAGGTGTGGAGCGGGGCTAAATAAATGGATCTTGCAAAAGAGACCTTCTCAGGGTTTGTGAGGGACTGAATTCTCTTCTAATTTGTTGATAAATCACAGGACACTCACACAGATGTTACATGTCCACTACTACAGTCTATAGACTGTAGTAACAGTAACTAATCCCCAGATACGGGAGGCTTTGGTCAGTGCCTTATTCCACTAAGTATGGCGCCTGCTACAGCACTAACAACATTACAAAGATTTCTCCCCAGAAATCTTCTAGTCAGAGAGCCACATCCTGATCTCTAAAAAGTACACTGAGTGAGATCTTCTATAGGTCAATGTACTTAACCAATGATATTCAGGACCTTTTCATGCTTCAAAAATCAATTTTAGTAAGAATACTGAAATACATGGTTTCTTGGAGTTAAATCCTATTATTTTGGCACCAATAGGAGAGTTTGTCTAAACTCTTGTACAAGGAAAAAGGGTAGAAGTTCTGCAGGAGGCTACGAGAGGAATATACCACCTTACCACTCAATAGCCAAGCCATCAGGCTCAGGTAGTCTGAATAGGAAAGCCTACCTCTCTCACACACTTGAATACATGAAAGAAGACATTGAAATTTTTTTTCTTTTGAGAGGGATGGGGCCAAGGGTGGGAATTTGTGGAGATTTTTCAAGAATTCTCGATAGGTGAGGATGACCTGCCTGCTGAATCCTACATGTTGAAGACCACAGTTCTACCATTGCAGAGTAGTTTCTGCGGGAGTCTCGCTGCTGTGTAAAGATGGAGAGCTGTCAGCATCTGAGCCACTTCCCATTGAGTAACAAGGGTCTATAGGGCAGGGTAGTAGTGGGACGTCTACCCTTTTGTAACTTGCAACTATTGGCCTTTTGCTCACACTATTTTATTGATTCTGCCATGCTGGAAGAGGGGAGGAGAGGAGCTTGGCAGGTGCTCCCATTCAAGAAATAATGACAAAAAATGGACATACCTTCACTAGAATAAAAGGTGCATTTTTAAAATGTTCGCTAATGTGTTCAAAATACACCTTTCTTCCTAGTGTAGATATGATGAATGTAGTCTCCTAGAAGAAGGAAGGCAAAGGAGCAAAAGTACCATTCGCTGCTGCCCCAGAACTTGATTTTTAAAAGATTGGTAATAACAGATAAGGTAGCAGCACCAAACCATCACTTTGTTTGCATGGACAAAGAGAGAATCTGAAGTGAAGTGGAAAAGGAGTGGCCACATCTCAGAATCCACTGGACAAGACTGAGCTGCTGTCAATATTTTTCAAAGAGAGAGAGAGTCCAAATGTATCACTCTGGAGAAAAGTTTATGATCAAGCAATCCTGCTCCATTCTGTTTCATGGTACTTAAAAGGGAAACTGTCCATTTGTTTCACACCAACACAGTGAAATAAATAGACACAGGCTATTTTATAATAGGCAAATCAAATAGTAAATTATAACATTTTAAATAGTTTTTTTTTTAAATTATATTGGGTCAAGACTTATTTTCAAATAATCTGTTGGGACCCTGGTCTTTAAGCAAAAACAGAATTCTGCTTTCAAAATCATCTGTTGTGGCTGCTGCTCTGACCACATTCAGCTCTTCTTCAAATCCCGTTACTGGCTTCCCCTCAACATACATATAGCTAAGGTCTTTCTCTTTAGCTTCAAGGCTCTGCACAATTTTACTCCTCTCTCCTTGTTTTCTTTTAGTCCTCTCCTCACTCCTTTGTTTTACCCAACCTGCAGGACTGTGCCTTCTGTGTCCTCCTCCTTCCCATCTTCTCTCTGTACTGTCTTCCAAACTGCACTCTATGCCTTGAATTCCCACCCTGACCTGGTTTTCAACTTCTTTTCCTTCAGATCTCTCCTTAAATCACACTTTTCCCAAGAGGCCTATAAACTGTAGTCTTCTCAAAGTATTGTTAGCAAAATGAACCACAAAAAACCCAAAAGCCACATAAATTCATTATAACAAAATTTGTTCTAATGCGAAGTACTAAATTCAACTCCTTAGTTACTTGTTTTTTTAACCTATGCTATCCTCCCATCCTTCAACTATCTGCTGTCTATTTAGACCGTACAATCCTGATGGGACAGATCTATCTTATAACTCATTTATAACACAAGTATCACACGTATGAGATTACATTAATAAGTAGAAATACTGTTATTACTGAAAACTAATATTACATTAGTGAATGCCCAAGTTAGAAAGAGATTACTAATACATTCAGATAATAAAATTACCAGGAGGCATTTTATGTTTGTAAATTAGAAAAGGGGACTTTGAGCTAGCCAAACAGGATTAAATGCAGTCACATAAATGGGTCTAATTATTGACTGGAACCTCATCATGGACTTGATCCAAAGGCTAGTGAACTCAATGGAAAGACTCTCATTGATTTCAATGAGCTTTGGATTTGCAGGTCTCACATGTTTCATATGTGACTCTGTATATCACTTCCATAGCCAGACCAAAAGTTTGAACAAATCACTGAAGAGTGGAGCAAAAGTTGTGTGCAAGAGCTTTGCTTTTTTATTTTAGGAATGGAATTCTCAGTCCCAACAAGCCAAGCTGCTATGCAAGCTGGTCATGGCCACAGGGAAGGATCACAAACGCAAGCCCACTGCTTCCTCAGCCCATGTAAGAGTTGGGCCCACTGCATCTGTGCAGTGCATAGGTTCCCTGGTATTATTTCTGGCCTGTTCATAATGACATCTCATCAGCAGTTCTCCACAACATGTAGGAATGGAAAGAATGGTACAGGATTCTTGTGACAGGTGTCTGCTCCTGTCCATGTGTGCAAGTGACTTTAAAGCTACTTTAGGATCTTCTATAGGTGCATGGGATGCCCCAGGATTTGGCCAAGGAAAAACAGGTATCAATGATTTGTAAGAACTTGGAAAAAGCTGAGCAGCCCTGAAAATGCCTTGAGATAATCAAAGATATAAATAAATACATACATACATACATACATAAAGGATCTGCAAGAGACAAGAATTTTGTTCTGAGGTTAAAAATGGCTAGAAAGAGAGGGTGTGTGTGTGTGTGTGTGTGTGTGTGTGTGTGTGTGTGTGTGTGTG